CCTGTATGCCTAAAACTAACTTAGTTAAAAAAAATTGATAATTTCTTAAAACTTTTGTATTTGACAGTTGATACTTCTGTCAAAAACGTCAAATGATAAAGTTAGCAGGGTCGACATTTATAATAGATCGCCCTGTACAAACTGATAGAATTTTTAGAATTTTTCAGAATTATCAGTATTTTTTTTGCATTTTTTAGTATTTTTTAGCAATTTCTAGAATTATTCAGTATTTTTTAGAATTCAACTAGAATTTTTTAGAAATAATTTAGAATTTTTATCTAATCTATTGCGCATGCTCAAAAGTCTGCCCAATTTGTTGGGATTTTTTAGAATTTTCTAGAATTTTTTAGAATTTTTAGAATTTTTTGGGACAATAATAACATGAAAATTAGCATTTTTCAGGATTTTAGAATTTTTGGTGTACAAAATTAGGTAGGTGGTTTTCCCCTCGATAGTAACATTTCTAAAATTTGTTTTTTAAATCAAAATAAAAATTAAAAAATTGGCAAATAAAAATTATTGCCATGTAATCAGCTAGATATAGTAGTTCTCTACAACTTTCTCGTATAAATATTTTTGATATTATGCATATTAACGCCAAAAAGTTATGATTACAGAATTACTGGTGGTTAACGCTCTCAAATTGTAAAGGGGCCCACATACTGCGTTTTTGTTGAACATTTCTGTTGTAGGTGTAAATCTGATCTAGCAAAACGACACAAAACTGAAGTGTGGTGCGAAAAATTATCGTTTTTGCTGGCATAAAAAACCGATGCAAATATCTGGCTTCACCTGAGTTTATGTTCAAAATGTCAACAAACCTGAAGTGTGTGGGCTTCGAATTTTAAAAACGACGGTTTTGTTTGGTGTAAATTATATGCATGTTTTCTTCCCCGTGTGGGGTGGTGTTTTGGGGCCCCCCTTATTTCGGGGCCCGGGCGGGCTTTAGCCCCCAAAGCCCCCCCCCCCCCCTTAATCCGGCCCTGAAATTAATGTGCTGTTATCTAATTGTCGATGTAATGTTCGGAAGCCGGCTTATTTACCTCTGTTTTTCCTTGATTTTTCTCGGGCAATCTTATATTTCCACTATCCCCAATTACTTTAGTGTTGATGAAAACCGTGTATTTACCTATTATTATTTAAAAAAATAGGATGTACTTTGTCTACTTTGAACTTTCGATTTGGTAAAGGGTAAGCTTCATAATAATTTTTCTCCATCATATGCCTAAAACTTGTTGTATTCCTGGGTGTAAGACCAATTGACGTTTTCAATTAAAAGAGATGGACGATAAAGTATGAAAACATTCAGATTCCCGCCAACATTTGCTTGCTCGTCAATGTCAAGTGTATAGGGTGTTTAGCAATCCCCTGGTTTTTATTCTAATCGGTGACTCCACCGATGAGTTAGGTATCTTTGTTCAGTGAATGGAAAATGACAATGACCGACATAGAATGGTGAAATTTGAAATTGGAAAGAAAATGTGGGAATGTGGATATCTTTGTATACTTGATGGGTCGTGGATTTCCCTTACTTTTGCGAGTATCAGTTCTGATTTTGTGTATCCAAATTTTGACAAATGTAGGATTTGATGAAAACTTATGGAAAGACACGTCCGCCGGTGAATAGGAATTATTTTCACGAAAAGGCACACTACACACAATCAACATTGTTAGGAAAAAACCTTGAAAAAACCGAGGAAATAATAGTTTCCAGTCTCAGGCGTATAAAACTCTTGTCAACAAACCATTGTCAATAGCTGTCAATCATTGTTTTCATACTTTTCATACTCTTTTGGCATCTGACAGTCTGACGCCAGAGAGAGAGGCTTCTAAATTGTAAAGGTCAATTAGGTATAACAGCACTTTAAAAGGGGGACAATCTGATATCAACTTTTGCCTTTCCAAAAGATAACATTCTAAGGGCTAAATGGGTAAGACCTATTTGTGCTAACTTCATTTTCAAGATACTAATATCATGAGAGAGGATATTTTTTTATTGTCCGATAGGAGTCTGAAGAAAATTCTAATGAAAGCTAAACTCAAACTTCGTGCAGTTCCATCTAATTTCCCCAATTTACCACCATGTTTATCATAAAAAGTGCCATTTTAATTGCCAAAACTCCGGTTTTGAGCTGGAGACTCCAGAATAAGGCCCCTGGGGCCTTATTCTGTAAGAACTAACCGTTCGATTCGGTAGAATTTCTTCGATTGTGACGTCATTTTTGGTTTAGTTTTCGCGTTACCAAACCGAAAATGACGTCACAATCGAAGAAATTCTACCGAATCGAACGGTTCGTTTCTTACAGAATAAGGCCCCTGGTATCTGCTACAATCCGAATTAGTTTTTTGATATTTTATTGCAGATTTTTTAGAAATAATCATAATTTTATTGAAATATGGCACGCATCATATTCATAGAATATTTAAAGGTATGTAACCAATCTACTTCAATGTACCATCGTCACCAAAAGTAACTGGGACAGCATCACATTAGCTCTTGTCCTATTATATGAATTTTATTGTCAAATATTTGTCAAACTATGCATTAAATGCATTGAAATGAATGACAGTAGAATTAGTCCAGGAGATTTTTATGCATTATTTGTGTCCCAGATACTTTTGGTGACGATGGTACCTTTTCAGTATATGCGGCCAACGAACATAAAACGGATATTTACCAGAATATACCAAAACGCATGTGCTTTAACGAACGTTAGTAGGATATGCATGGCACATGAATATACTTTCCTTGCTATGTGGGATTTAAGAGAAGAGTCTGGGAAGTAGGCATACGGAGCTACAAAGGAAGCAAAACGATATTCCGCGCGTGGCTAAATTCATTAAAATGTTGCACCGATTTTAATGGGTTCGTTTAGGATCGGCTAAAATACGCACACATAGCTTGCACATACGCACTGTTTTTGGAGCAAATGGTTCCAGGTTCGATTCTCGTTCAAGTTTTGTTTTTTTTTAGGGTATCTATTTTTTTTAAAGACTATTAAGAGGACGAGTTAGTTTGGATTAGCTTTGTTTGGCAATAAATTTTTTTTAAAGTTTTGCTTTTTTCTTAGAATTCTTATTTTTTTTTTAAAGATTATTACGAGGACAGGTTTGTTTGAGTTAGTTTGGATTAGCTCTTATTTCGTTTAAAATACCAACATACAAAGACTGGCCCTCATCACGAATTACGGTCAAACTTCGTCTGTCTGTTCCCCAGACTCTTCTGTTTAACGATAGCTATGGAGGGTGGTCAAATTTTCAGGGTTTTTGTTTTTTTCCATGAGTTTTGCCATAATTCATATCTATGCCAAATTTCAGCCTTCTAGCATGTTTGGAAGTATCCTTAAGCCGGCTACAGACGGTCCGGCAGGCCTGTCAGTTTCAACTGAACAGTTCGCCTGAAGGCCGGTTGCCGGATGGACTGATGACCCTACAAATGTTCAGGCGTATCTGATTCTTCAGTCTCAATCATCACGGCCTCTACTGACGACGACGCGTTATAAGCACTTTTTGGTTTAGTACTAGTATACATATTTATGAGAACAGTAGAGTCCGTACAAGAAAGATCGATTTTCTTCCATTTTTCTACCAGTTTCTTGCCATGGTCGTGGAAGTTTTTCGATTTGGCTTGCCGACCCGCCATGATAAATAGCGATAAATTCCGCCGAACTCCTATTTTCTATTCCGCGTGACATGGCGTAAGCTCACTACTCCCTACTGAAACCATGTGAAATGATAGCCCAACGGCCCGACAGGCGGACAATGCCATACACACGTTCAGACTTGCCTTTGGGTACGTGAGGCCGGCCGGATGAACGAACATATTTTTGATTTTTCTCCGGCCACCTGAACAGTCTTAACTGACAGTTCGTCTGGAATATATACACGCTCAGGCGACCGGCCTTCAGTCGGACTGTTCAGTTCGAACTGACAGGCCTGCCGGACCGTGTGTAGCCGGCTTTAGAATTTTGATGATCTATACACGAGTGAATGACAAAATTGGCATTTTTCAAGGCCATGTAACTTTTTTGTTGGTTGATGGAAATCAATTTAGTTTTAGAATTAAAGTCTATAAAGATCTACGACTGTGCAAAATTTCAGTTTCCTAGGACACTTCAGAGCTGAGTTACAGGTAAGTCGAAAATGACCTGAAATGTTTCGAGAAAAGGTATACCTACAGTAGTGCGCGAACTTGGCGGGGGTAATTACCGTGCCCCCAGATTTCAAAAAAAACTGACGCTACTGAACCTTCGGCTGTTTCCGGAAAAATTCTCTGATAATTTTTGTGTGATAACTTAACATAAGTTGACTCACAATAAGCGTTTGTCGTTCTTTGATTAGTACCTTACTTAGTACCTATAATACCACAAGATACCCATATTTCTGACGGAAAAAGAGATTCATCGGAAATATAATTCTCAATCAAGTTTTCTGCATATTCAGTGACACACGCATTTTAGGGAAATGTGAGCGTATGTACAAATCTTCAGCAAACACATTGACAACTTTGGCAGGATCCAAAAACGATAAACCAAATGTCTAGCGTAACCATTTGCATTTGCCTATAAACGAGTCTAAATTACGATATTCAATAACTAATAGCCATAATCTTTGTATTTTTCTAAACCAGAGGACTGTGTAAAATGAAATCTACATCCAATTATCTCAGTATTTGGCCAAACTTTCTTGATATTAAGATGGATGGCTCTCTCCTCTCGATCAAAATCACATACTGTATGTTTGGGATAAAAATTCAAATCTACCGATTTACAATAGGTAATCAATTCTTGTTTGAAAGCAAATTAAAAACCAATGTGGGCAACCCCCTGCCGGAATAATTATTATATATACCAGGTATGTACCTAATTTGCATTCCGGACCCTATACCCTTTTTGGGTGATAAACCGAAGATTTCGGTAGCAGGTACCTTCCACATGCAGTTAAACAGTATAAAAAATACCCGTATTTTAATGATTAGAAAAAAAATAAAACTACAAAAATGAATTAAAATTAAATAATTTTTCTTTTCAATAAAAAATATTATTTTTAAACAAACAAAAGATGGGTGTTCTTATATAAAAACAATTGCGATAATAAATTAATAATTACAAAAAAAACTTGTACCCTCAACATAAAGTAGTATAAAACATAATTTAGTACTTAAAAATCTAGTTATTTTGAAACTTTCTTCGGGTACCCGTAGGAATTGATGGCTGAAAAATATAAAAATTAATAAAAAATATATGTAAAACTGTATAAAATAATATTAAGCAAAATTGCCCCTAATAATGAAACTCTATAGCTTCGAAACATGTAGAGCTCTTTAATTTTTCAATCAAAAAGTTTGTGTGGAGCAAGACTATGTTTCTTTTGATTTCAAATTTCAATTCTTCTTTGAGTCATGAATTACTTTTTCAATTTAAAAAATATATGAACCTACTTAAAAACTCAAAAATCCTCACCTTTGAATTCAGGATCGCACTTTTCCAATAGTTCCAGCCATTGAGGTCCTTCGATCCTAGGCAAATCCAAAGTACCACCGTAACACTCAGGAAGGCAGGCAGGGTCCATATGCTGGTGCAAAGATTTGCGGTCGGTACCGTGAAAAATGATCCTGTTACGCAATTTTTCCCTCAAAAAGGGTTTGAAAAGGGCAAAGACCATTTTGAAAATGTACGGCTGGTTCACGATGTGGATGTTTTTGATTCTCAACGGTACACTGTCCTGGAAAAGATAAAATGAAAATTAGTTTTTTCAAAAGCTGATTCAATTGACTTAGTACTGACGTCACACGATAACATTGGTCATGGTTACTGTATCCAAATAAACTTCAACAACAACAATATTTTCATATTACTTAACTTTTAGCATCTGGCTTTGGTTTATAGAACAATAGTACAGTAAATGCAACAATTACAATGTGAAAGAGAAGTGTAAATTGAAAAAGACTGGAAGTTTGTTTAGATACAGATGACGTCACCCTAATGGAGCGTATTTGAGCCTAATTACGTTGAAATTGGATTGAAATTAATAGAATTATGGGACAAAATAAAAAGAGGCTCTTTTAATACCTTTACCGAAACGCTGATCCAATTAACCCGATCACCAGCTGTTTTGTTTTTCATCTTTCTTCAATAAACACGATAGAAAAAAGACAAAATACACCCAGCTAATGATCGGATTAATCAGAGTCGTATTCGATTCGTAACGCGTTCATTTAAAGTCGGGTATTATAAAACTGCTTTGACAGTTAACTTGAAGTTAACTTTTTGAATTACATGTAATTTTAGAAGTTAACTCTCAAAATAGTTTTATAATACCCGCCCTAATTCAGATCGATCTAAACGGAAAGAGTAGGCGCAATTCGATAACTGTCACTTGTCAGTTGTTCGTTTAGTGTAGTATATTTGATCTAACTGAACCAACAATATTTTTAATTCCGAACACAGTTTGATTCACTTAAATTATTGAACCAGATCAATCTGATCTAGTCAATTGAATACAGCTCGAATCAGCGTAAAGACCGTTGGGAAAAAAAATCTGACAGCTGTAACTCATTTAAAATTAAGGGGACGTTCCGTAAGTTAACCAAGATTCTTGGTTTTTCCGGTAAACGTTCCGTAACCTAACCACTCCTGAAATCTGGTTAGGTTATGAAACGCGGTTTTACACATAAACCACATATTCATGAACCAGACTGTCACCATAAACGAACCGCTCCATACCAATCGGTAACTCTGGTTAAGATACGGAACGCCGCCTAATTCTCGTCTAGTAAATTGTCAACAGATGTCAGATGTCAACCAAATCTGAAAAATTTAGGCAACCTAAGAAGTGTTATTTATTTTTATAAGGAATTCTATTGGAAGGGTTAGTGCGCACTAGAATGTATTCGTCTTTTAAGTACTTCCAGCTTGTATAAAAAAGAAATAAAAGACAGTTTTTCTGCACTTGTCTCAATTTTTGTCTATCATCGGCTCTTGAATTTTTTCTAAATTTCTTCAAGTAAAGAAAATTTAAGAGCCTGTAATAGAGACAACATTTCTTAAATGCTGTTGATCGATGTCGATGTAGCAAGACGACAGTTTAACAAGCGACAAAATAGGTAAAGTTTGAATTTGGCGCCTAAACAAGACACCTGTAATACCGGCATAATAATAGATATTTCCAAAGCCTACTTTTAACGAATTCTATTGAAAGGGTTATTGCGTGCTGAGTGTATTCATGTCTTTTTCTACCAACTTGTATAAGAAAGAGATAAAAATACATTTTTTCTGCACTGGTTCTACCAATAGAATTTGCCATTTAAGTCTTTCAAGAATAAATTTGAAAATGGCCGAGTGACTTTTTTCCATTTTTGCAATGTAAAATTAAATTTGCCTTAAGGGCCAAATTATGGACCAATTAGTAAGTTTGGTTGTTACCTAGCAGGTACTTTCTATTCCCTAGAGCATAGAAAGTAACAACCAGGCGTTTACCAGTCACTCCATAATTTAGCCTTAAGCAAAAGTACCTTTTTTCGAATATTGTTTCTATATGAAGTAGGCAATTGGTTATTTGACAGGACACAGGAGCATATTAAGAAGAAATGCCAGCTAAAATCATAAATTATCTCCTGTCAAATATGGTTGGTATATGAAGTAGGCAATCGTTATTTGACAGGAGAAAACACAGAGGCATATTAAGAAGAAATGCCAGATAAAATCATAATTTGTTTCTTGTCAAATATTGTTCGTATATGAAGTACAAGGATAATACATTATACCTACTACTATAGGATGGCCTATCCTCATAAGACCTGTGTGGAACAAACAGCCCTCCCTCCCCCTACCAAATCACCAGTTGTGACGTAGGCAGCATGTTATTTCTAGCCTTGACGTAGGCGTGTTAAACAGCTAACGACTTAGTTATGATGTCTGAAATGGTGACACACCATTATGGCGGCGATTACCAAAAACGAGACCAATAAGCAATCCTGTAGATGTATCCTTGTATGAAGTAGTAGGCTATGATTATTTAACATGACACAGGGACGTATTGAGAAAAAATATCAGTCAATCATAAATAATTAATTTCTTTAAGTACAGCGTTAAAAGCAAAGAAAACTTAATTTAGAAAAATCGATGTTTTTTTAAGAAAGAAATTAAATTTTCAACAAAGTAAGAGACACCGATATAAGAAATTTAATAAGTAAGGAAGAGACGGATATAGTATAGTGATAAAAATTTTGATTATTCCCGGGGCTTGAGTAGTCTTATATCTGGTCAATCAAGTGCGTGGAATAGAGAGAAACGGTATGCAAAATTCAATGGGTAAGAAAAGGACAGAGATAACAAAAAATAGCTTTTGCGACAGTGATAAAACTAAAGCTTGGGTATAACAAACTAAGAGACAACGATATGAAGAATTAAATGATAAAGAGAGAGACAAATATAATAAAGTAAGATAAAAAAAAGTGATACAAATTATGATTATTCCTGACGCTAGAGTGGTCTTGTATCTGAACTAATCAAGTGCCTGGAATAGAAAGAAATATTATGCAAAATTTAGTGGGTAAGGAAGAGATAGAGATAAAATGGGAATAAAAATTTTACTTAAATTTTGGCAATATTGTGTCTAACAAATCAAGAGCTTGGGTTAGTTTGGGTAGTAAGAGACAAACCTATAAAAAATTTAATGATTGAGAAAGAGACAAATATAAAGTGATAATAAAAAAAATTACAGAAATTTTGATTATTCCCGGCGCTTGAGTAGAGTCTTGTATCGTACCAATCAAATCCCTGTAATACAGAGAAATGTTCAATGGGTAAGAAAGAGACAGAAATAAAATGGGAACAAAAATATTACAGAAATTTTGGCTGTTTTTGTGTGACAAATAAAGAGTTTGGGTATAACAGAGTAGGAGACAAACGTATAAGGAATTCAATGATGGAAAAAGAGACAAATATAGAGTAGGAAAAAAAAATAACACGAATTTTGATTATTCCCGGTGCTTGAGTAGTCTTGTATTTGGCTAATCAAATGCCTGGAATAGAGAGAAATGACATGCGAAATTCAATGGGTAAGAAAAGGATAGAGATAAAATTGGAATAAAATTATTACAAAAATTTTAATTATTTGTTTCTTATAAATCAAGAGCTTGGGTATAACAGAGAGGGAAACAAACGCATAAAATATTCAATGATTGAGAAAGAGACAAATATAAAGTAGGATTAAAAAAAAAGTGACACAAATTTTTATTTTTCCCCGTGCTTGAGTAGTTTTGTATTTAGCCAATCAACAGTGTCTAAAATAGAGGGAAATATTATGCAAAATTCAATGGGTTAGAAAAGGATAGAAATAAAATGAGAACAAAAATATTACACAAATTTTGACTATTTGTGTGTGACAAATCAAGAGTTTGGGTATAACAGAGTAGGAGACAAACGT